AGCATTTTCATATGCATACAATAAAATATTACACGAAATTCATCGTTTACACAGAATTTCGGAATAGTTAAGTTTGACAGATGTCGAATAATTATCGATAATTGTTAAATCGCGTTCCGTACACTGCAAATGCGAACGTATCCACTTTTATCACGGCACGGCTAAACTAAACATGATCAACTCTCAGCGGGACGCTTCGAACAACGCCCGCAAGACCCCTAAAGTCTGAACAACTTCGAAAGTCAAAGTAACGGTGGATCGTTGTAACAACAGCAACGCCTTTGCAATTTAGGCGTATAAAACCTGTCATGCAAGAATAGTGATAGTTGTGTTTGGCGTTGTCAAACATTATTATAATTTTATTTTGCTGCAATGCGCCTATAACATACCGTAAACTTTATTTTCAAATAAAATTACAAGAAACTTCTTTTATCGCTTTTAAATATTTTTTCATTGCTCCTTATAATAATTGACTTAATAGAATTACTTAATTTAAATAAAATTGTTTTTGCAGATTGGTATCTTCTTTTTTTATTTTGTTCTTTTTTCTTTTATACGGATTTAGAAATAAAACTTAATTTTGGTCAACCTTATGTAAGATTTCATAGAATTTTTTTGATTGTAATAAACTTGCAACACTCACCACACACACAAAATTAAAATTTAGTAACGTTCTCAAGTATTGGATAGCAGTACTATTGGGTTGCAGGTCATTTCATGTGCTATTGCTATTCACAGCTAGATGGCGCCTTCTGATATATTTGGATTTAAAGTAGCTGGTGCCCAGTAGCTGAAGTCCTTAGTAAAAAATCACTTAACTTTTATTAATAACAAACGAACCATTCAATAAGTATACAACCAAACTATGAGACCGAAAATTGTAAAAGCTACAACTAGATGGATCCTTGAACAGATCCATCTAGTAGTTAGGAAGTTCAAGATTTATTTTATAAGGTAGGTTCTTTGATCGATCGTAAGAAATAAGTTTGTTTATGTTCAAATTATTGTTTATAAAATTAAGTCACTTGCCTCCATTGAGTTAAAACAACACTAGAGAAGCAAACCTCATTATCACACGTTGAAAAAAGTGTAACCACTTTTGAACTTTGACGACGTAGCTTTGATACCACTAAACATTTGAAAGTAAACATATTTATGTCTCATTTACACGCGAGACAAGAACAATACCATCGCTCGGATTAGACAAAGACAAAGACATAACTTTACGATAGTGGGCCAGTGTTGACTACCGTATGAAATTTTACCCATAACAACTAAGAAACATTTTTTTTTAAAACAATTTTGTAATAAAATAAATTAATTTAAATATTCTAAATAATATATTTCGAATTGAATAGAATAGGTATAAATAATAAAATAACTGGAAATATTTGGTTAAAAGGGTTTATATTCAGTGTAAAATCAAACAGCGCTGTGAAGCATCAGTTTTGTATACAATTGTCTTTTAGACTCTTTTTTATAAGTTTATATGGATATTTTACTTTCATGATACAATCTTATTTTTACGTATGTAAAAATAATAGCATTTAATAATAAAAGTGAATGATCAACTTGTACTGATAATAAATAATCCCCAGGGTGTATTGCAAATTCTATTATACTTTAAAAACAAATAAAAAAAAACTATTTTTAATTTATTTTTATTTATATTTTATAAAAAAAAATATTTATATTTATTTACTTTTATTTTTATGATAAACATTTTTTATTATAATTATTATTGTTTTGTACAATTATTATTTAAAATTGATAATAAATTAAGAAAAACAATAAATTAATTCTTTTGTACAAAAGTCTCCAGCACTGCGAGCTTGGCACTTCTGCCAAGCGCGCAGTGAACGTTCAACGGGTCCCTAAAAAAAGTAATCGGTCCAGCCCTAACAACTACCGTTCTTCCTATATTTTATTATTATTGGCAAAATCTTTAAAAACAGTATAAAGCATATTATTTCATAAATTATAAATTCTCCCACTAATGTGGGAAAACCAAAATGATTTTTTAATGGTAACACTGATTCTAAATTACAATTATCAGTGTTTTATTTCAATTATAGCCTTATTTACGATATTATCAATACAAAAACCATAAACTTACACGTGAAAAGTAATTCCGTATGATTTATTAATGTTTTGTGACCTTGAATCGCATTCTTTCACTACGCATTTACCTATTTTGGCGATTGTTACTGTCATGTGTCGCTATGTTCAACTCGGTTGACGCCACATTGAACACTGAATTGACGTTTGCTACGCATATGCCTGTGGACAGATGTGCAGTAGCAACGATTTTAGGCGGTAATTACTCATCTATGTAAGTATTATATCAATGCTTGCCTCTGTTTCTGTTCTTGTCACAAATTGTCTTTGTTCCTTAGCTAGCGTCACTGACCGTCAAATTTAATGAAACCCGGGATTTCCGGGATTGATATATCGAATGGAACCAGCCTCAAAGATATTTATGTCTTGTTTAATGATTTCGGAAAAATCTGTTTATTAAATGTAGTTAAGTTAATGTTTACATGCGATCTGAAGGTTTTCTTTCTTGGTGTGTGGAATGTGTGTGTGTGAAGTCAATTTCATTTAAAATATTATTGTAAACATTAATCTCTGTAGCATTGTATAGTCTTTATTACAGTTTACCTAAATAAGTCCTCGTTTGTTTATGTGAAATTTATAATATTAATAATATCTTGACACATCTCACATACGACCGTCTGATCGCAAACTAGGCTGAGCCTGTTCTATGGTAACCAGACTGCTGATAAACATACTGAAATATTTTTAAATAATAATAATATTTTTAAATTTACATATTATAGATAAGTTACATGTTTTTTCTTTTTTTCCTGTGCGGAACTCACCTCGGATACCACCCACCAGTGGGTGATTATGTGGGCCTCGAACCGACCAAAACCAAAAACCTCACGCCGTCTTCAGGTACCGGGGAAGTAGCAGGGGAACCAGGTATTCCCTAGAAAGGAAAGCCCTGTAACCCCGACGTACCTCGGGCCATCTACGGCTTATAGATGACCCCTCCTGTGTGGGATGTTCCCTTCCTGCCCCGAAGGGCGTGCGCGCTCCGTAGCGCGTCGCGCCATACCCACCCTGGAGATAAATTACACCTATAATTTTGTTTAACAGGCTTTTTGAAGGTTTATAACTTTTATAACAATATAGGTAATATTGTTAAAAGAAAAAAAAAACTGATTTTAACATTTTTATTGTCCTTTTGTTACCACTTTCCATGAATAATACCATCCCGGGGCCATCCCGGGATCTTGAGATTAACTAAAGATAACAAAAACAAAATGACAGTGAAAGTTCATCGGAACTGAATTGTGACCTTCTGGTCATTTATTACGAATTAAGTTAAAAGTATAATCGTTCATCGACAAGGTATACACTAAGTTACATGATGTTAAAGTATAATTCAATAAACGTCTATTTCTCAAGAAGAATCTAAACCAGGTTTTTTTCACCAATTTGGAAAAATGCACATACCTATATTTTGTTGGGTTGAGGCCTATTCCCATTTAAATAATCTGGCGTGGTTTGTCGTCTGTATTAATATTACTAGCTGACCGACGTGGCTTCGCCGGCGCGGCGTGAAGTTTGTGCAAAACTTAACAGTATAGATGGCGCCACCTATTTACCATATATTGACTTATTAGGGTTTTTTCCTGGAGATAAGGTATTTTGCCGCTGTAAAAAATGTGTTATTCTAGGTCGAATTCTATTTTTGTACTAAATTTCATTCAAATCTGTCCAGGCGTTTTAGCGTGAAGAAGTAACAAACATACACGCAGACACACACACACACACACACACACACAAACTTTCGTATTTACAAAATTAGTGAGATTAAATAAAACCTTTTCCGCAGTCGGGTAAAAAAGAAAGTAAATACCTATAAAGTATAATTGCAAGGCTTCTCTGTAAACTATATTTTGATGTACTATTCGTTTGAAGCAAAATAAATTGAACAGCGCGGCGCGCGCAAACGGTTCGTGTATAGCATTTTTATACTCATGATAACTTCGAAATTAAATGATATCTTCTTAACGAATTGACCAATTTTAATTATGGTAAGACAAAAAAAAAATATCTACTTGAAATTATCTCGATAATGAAACACAATTTCATAAGGATTCGTATAATCACACGAAAAAATGCATCTAAGGAATGTAGTGGATATTTAATAATTTAAAAAATATAAAAACGCTTTTTATAGCTTAGCTGTTAGATAGATATCACCTCGCGAACTTTTTTGTAGATCTTTTTTAGTCCTACAATTCATTAGCACATTATTTCGTCTTATCTTTAACAATTCAAGCAGCGCACGTAAAGAAAGGAAATATTTGAGACGATTTCTTACACCTTGGTTAACATCACCTGTTTTGTTTTGCACATGTTAAGATTTTTTAGAAAAAAAATGTAGTCTATGTTACTTCCTGGTAGCTTTCTATTTGTGAAAAAATTATTAAAATCGGTCCAGTAGTTTTGGAGCCTATTCGAAACAAACAAACAAAAAAAAATTATTTCCTCTTTATAAGTATTCTGTGTACTATAAATAGGTATTCTGTTGTTCGAAAACTAATATAAAATCGTTTGGTTTCGAACTAAGTTGAAGCTGTAGTTTCGGGAATAATATCTGCTTTTATTCATTGTCGAAACCAGCACACGGCCTTTATGTTTCATAGAAAACGCCTTTCTTTCTAATTTTCAGAAAATATTTACAAATAAAACACAAGTTACACAACACTGGTTTATTAAATATGCACTGAAAAACTTATACAACAGTTGAAATCACCAAAATACGCTCGCGTATCATTTGGCTTAGAAATACACTGAAAGTAGAAAAATAACTTTAAACATATTTTTTTTACGAACCAAATTCGAGTCCTAGTCTAAATAAACATAATTTAAAAGTATGATATATCAATAGTGATGCTGCATACTGTAGGAAGCAGTTTTGAGATTTACTGGACCTTGTACACCCTGGTGCAGGTCACGTCTTTTGCGGTCATTACCTGAAACATACAAATTACAATTATTCACTGGATTTAATGGTGAATAGAAATAAATTCTTGGATTTTTTAATCTCCTATTCATCCCGTGGGTGTCGTAAGAGCCGACTAAGGAAACAAACTACGCAGGACAAAATAACAGCACTGCAAAGAGAAGTAAAACTTGAAACAAAACCTATACCAACTCGTTTCGTCACGCTTTAATGTCCAGACGAGCGTGACATTAAAGCGTGACGTGAAAAGTTGGTGTCATTTTTCTATACTAATTATTTTTAATAGAACGAATTTTAATGACTTATTTATTAGCCTTTTTTATAATAGCGCTTAAGAAAACAGTAACCGACGCACACTACGCACATTCTATTTTTATATTTATTTCGTCGTAGTTCTTAACCATTAGAACAAACAAGTTATCTGTTTATTTTGTTGAACCTTATCCTTTCATTCAACGAAACTACAGAACACCCTTTCATATGATCCATCCTTGGAGACCTCTAGTGTTTCTTTAGTGCCATTAAAGCTTTTGCACTCGCGGGTTAAGAGTGCTTCCAGGATACCACCAATATTAAATCTGTGGTTTCAGTTTCATGTTTATTATTCGTACCTTTTTAATTTTGGCCATCTGTTAAATCTTTCATAATAATATATACCTACCTACATTCTTGTGTACTGTGTACAACACTACAGTGTTAAACAGCCCATAATTGCACGCATATGCATTAGAAAAGAGTTTTTCATATTTTTACAAAAGTTTAGTTTAAATTGTTTTTATACTCACAGCCTTCATCTCCTCAGGACCAAACTCACGGATGTAGGTCACTTCCAAACCGTCGGCGGCCTTCTGCACCTGCTTTAAAGTGCAGCCGTCGAAGGTGCACACTGACTTCACCTGGAAAGTTAAGGAAAAAGGTCATTTCTTGAACAATTTCATATGAGAAATTATTGAATTACTCATTGAATTACAATCAAGTAATGTATGTTGAAACATTTGCAAACTAAACTTTTTAACTATCAAATCGACACAGTGTTGAGTTTTGTCAATAATAATGGATGACGTCATGCCGTGTTAGTTTATACGAGAACAAAAATTGCACGCAAAACTCATCTCAGTAGCCATTGGGTATTATGAGTATTACCCAAATAATAATGTTAACTGATCAAAAATCTGAACAATGAAGTGAATTAAAGCTTTTTTTACCTAAAGTATGTCCATAAATGTTTATTACTACACTTAACATTTGGTATACTAAGTTTAGTATTACACCAAATATTAAGTACTCTAAATAAATAAAATAAATTTTGGACACTTAGGTCAGTACCTTCGCTCCATCAGCTCTCTCCTCATCGAATTCTTCACCTTCCTTGAACTTCATCTCCGTAGTTTTGAAGGTGGATGATGTCACCAGGTTGTAGGTGTCTCCTTCTTTGCGGAGCTCCACTGTGGGAGTGACTGCATTGGCAGCTTTGCGGGTGATCAGTCCGACACCTGGGAACAGAGAAAATTCAAGTTAACATCAAATAAATTTAATTCTGTTGAACTTTTCTCGTCACATACACAATTCTGGCTAGGAGCTGCTGCACTGCAGAAGTATACTTAAAAAATATACATTTACCTAAAGCTCTCATGAACTCATCAAAGTTGTCTGTAGACACAAGCTTATACTTCATTCCTAAACACTGAATCATTGTTTCAGTATATAATGAAAAAAACACTCGTTAAATTACTAGAATACTAGATGCTTACTTAAACATAAAGGCAACTGGCACCTATAGTCTTTAATTTATACGCTATTGTGACAATGACATAATGACTGTCCATTGACTTTCGAGTTTCTATGCAAATTTTCGTTTATTTAAAACAGAAATGAGTTCTTATTGATGATGTTGAACTAAAATTGTGGGTTCCCTAATTTCACTTCGTCAATAATTCAATGAGAAAGCTCGGGAAAAATCATACAGTCTGTGTATCTTGTATCATTTAAAACGTTGCCTTCCTCAGTCCTCACGTGCCTGAGGATGGCAACCTGAGGCCATTCAAGTGATCCTTAATAATATGTGTAAGTTAAACCTATTTTATAAAAAAGTTTAGTTGATTTGTGTCCGTTTCAAAAACAAAAAAGTTCTGCACCGATTGAGCTCAAATTTTGACACGACATGCAACCCGTTTCAAAGATTATTTTTATCTATTTTGAGCGTTGATATCGCATCGTTTATTTGGGTATTATTTATTTATATAATAATTGGACTTCAAATTGGTAGTTCAGGCAATAATTAGTGTAGTAGATAGTTAATGGCGTAGGGAGTAAAACAGAATATATAAATAGGCATGAAACGCTTGTGTTCTTCTCAAGACAAAGGCGTGTGTGTTACATTTAGGTACGTCATTGACTTTGAAGCTGAGCAGTGGCTATTAACGCAGATGAAACTGCAGGAAACGGCTAGTAATCCATACAAATAGATTTTAAATGTTAAAAAAGCTAGTGTATTGATGTTCACTCTTCAAAAATTACTATATGAAAGATGCAGGTGATTTAATTTTAAATGATTCTTGAAGACTAAAACAAATATGTATCTAACGGATAATCTATATAGATATAAGCGTTTCTTTACACGCAATCCTCTGCATTATTATGATACACATGCGATGCACCGTTCATCGGATGTCATCCATATATAGAGTTGTTGATCCAATTCATGTATTCACGCTATTATCGCCCCTCAGGACCACTGTATTACTGCCACAATTATTTGCAGTGATAATTGAACATCGAATCGGAGTAATGACCGTAAATATGTTATTGATTACTGTCTGTTCATAACTTCAATCGAAGTCTTCTTTTTATTCGAAATAATTGTTTTCAAGACTGCACTCCTCAATTTTTATACTTTGTTCGACACCGACTACCGCTGCCCATAAACGCCTGCAACGCAGGAGTCTTTAATATGTCAATTCTTATAAAATTAACTACTTTGGTTTACAATAGAATCATTAGCATAATTTTTAGAAATGCATTAGACTCTGTGATTGATGACAGTATTAATTACTGAATAATATAAATTAAAAGTAGAATAACATAAAGTAAAAGCACGATATTAATTTTACATCGTGCTTTTAGTGTACGTAATAAAAATATATAAATCAAAAGTATCGTTATGTAGTTATACCTGAATAATCGTTTTATAAAAGAGGTTTTGTATTCGACCTATATGTATCTTCATACATTTTCAACTTCAATCAAAATTTTATCAAAGCTTTTCACAATCAATTCCTTTAAAATCGGTTTGGTTTTCGTTTAATCATGAACCGGTCTTAATCAACCAATCGCTATTGTGCAATGGCATTTACAGCAGATATTTGCAATAACATTTTACATGAAAGGAAACCTTGTAGGGGTAAATATATTTCTTATCAACTGCATGGGTGGTAATGTACGAGGTCTATAGTGAGGTAAAATGAGTATCAGAACTGCAAGAGCACTTGAATGAACTAAAGTAACCTCGTGAGTCAGGTAAAGTGATAAGCTTTACAGACACATTAACACAGCATAGACGCCTAAATACGAGTATATACTAATATTCTAAGCTGGAGTTTGTTTGTATGTTTGGTCTAAGCTGCAGTTTGTTTGTATGTTTGGTTGAACGCGCTAATCTTAGTAACTGATGACTTCGAATTGAAAAATTCTTTGATAGCTCATTTATCGAGGAAGGCTATATACATCCCGCTATCAGTAAGAGGAGCCGAGCATCAATGATTAATGTTGCGAAAACGGGGGACAATCCTTTTGAGAGACGCAGACGAATTTGCGCGGGTCAGCTAATATATTATATAAATAGTCATACGCGAGTACGTAAATCAAAACAAGTTCAATAATTTACGAGTAGAATACGGAAAGAACTTAGTTTCCGTATTCCGAGTTCAATAAGTACAGGTTTTTTATGGTATTTGGGAGCAGACGGGGCACCTGATGGCAAGTGACGACCGCCGCTTAAAACTAGCAAGGGCCTCGCCACCCATAGAGGCCCCCCCGTCAGAATCAGGAGAAGAGGAGGAGGAGGGGGTGTCTTTGGCTTCCGGTAATTTCACTCACTTGGTGAAAAGCAATGATAGATTAACTTATTGTCTGTTTTCTGCGAGGCCCTGGGTTTATTTAAGTTGAGGCAGTCCATTTATGCCGAAGCATGGATCTCCCACAAATCATAATTTATTTGTAGTATAGAAATGTATCTTCATCTCTCTTGTTGTCTATATTGAAGGATTAGGGCTCTTGTTAACTCTATGCTTATATTCTATGATATTATGTATGTACCTGCTCTATGTATGGAGCAGTAATAGGCTAGTCAACATGTTCAAAAATGTGTTAATTCTTGATAAAGCTCCTAAAAATATGAGCGATGGCTCATTCTATTAAAGTTCACAATCTTTTTCATTTAAAAAAATCATCGTTACTGCTGTGCGGAGCCCTATTTCCGGCGTTGAATTAAAATTATAAATAATAGAGATAGAGTCCGGGAGTCGGAACTTTTTTCTTGGAAATTTCTTCTTCTTTAAGGATCTTTTTTTTTTAATTTGTTAAATGTTAAAAAAATTTGAGGTGTTAACAAAAAACGAAATGGTATCTTGTTTTCATCTTAATTAGTTAATAACAATTGCAATTTTTATGTGCTAATACATACTTTCGATAAATTATTCTAGACGTCATTCCGAATCGAATGAGCTTTATCAAGAACTAAAACGTTTTTGAACTTGTTGACTAGCCTATAACCGGAGTTGAGTGACGTGACAAGTCAAATTAGAGCATAAAAGGAAAAAGATACCTAATTAATGAGGGTTTTCAATATTTTTTCTGCCACCAGACGGCGCTTCGTATGCGTCAGGTCCAAACAGCTGTCAGATAGCACAGATTCTTACCGAACGTATAATTTTTTAGTGAAATTCTATGTATTTGGGAAGTGTTATTGAGTTCATTATAGATTACGGCCAGAGAAAGGTTGCCGAACTGAAGATTGAGCTCAAAAAGAGAGGCGCAAAAGTTTTATTTGCACACATAGGCACTGCACAACACTGTGGCATTTTAGAAAACAAAATCCCTTTTGTAACGTTTTTAAGAATGAATAAACCAAAAAAATGATGGAAAAATACAAATCGTGTATGTGTTTTGACAGGTGGTTGGACATGACGCTACAGTGCTGCCATCTCACGTTGAACATTTCAGAAAACCCTCATTTATTAAAAACCGCGGGTAACAAATCCATGTTTGTTTGTAGTGTGACTCATAAACAAGATTCACTATTTTATTTGTTTAGCATCGTTTTATAGGTTGTATGAAAAAAGCCACGAGATGGAAATTTTTAATAAAAAATAACTATATGCTGTTCAATTAGTTGTAATGTAGGTACATCATTAAAATTATCGGCAATGAATAATTTTTGCAAGGTTATGCAAGGTTTGATTAAATATTATTGGCGAAAATTAAAACAAAAAATGTCACAAAGAATATACATATAATACAAGGTGTCAAAGTAGTTTATATATTTAAACAATTAATAATTAGTTCTTTAAAACCTAAATTTATACCTAGACTACTTAAAACATTAATTACTAATTAGTCACGCATTTTAATTTAAACATAAACTATATTAACTGTATTTTTTAATAATTCGTTACCTACTTTTATTATTTAGTGAATGAAACCTGCGGATTTATTATAGTATTACATTCTTATTATGAATCTTTCATGTCTTCGCGTGAGCCATAACATACCATATAAAGTATGTCCCAACGGAATCGGTAGCGTCAGGGTCCAGTCTCGGAATGTGCACGCTCAGGAACGCGGCATTGCAACTCGACTAATGATTAGAACCACAGACAATCTGCCCTTTCAAATGACCACCCACAAACCCCGCCAAATGCTTACTTAAAGATCATGTTTCGAATTCCAAATCTAGATTCGTGTTACATGTAGACGAGAAAGTAGACTAAGACTTACGTAGCACTTAAATTGGATATCCATGGTGAAAAATTTAATTGTTGCATTTTGTGGAATTGGCGTTAAAGAAAAAAAAAACATACTCGTACTATCTACATTGTTTAAAAATTAAGCCAAGTTTTCTTTGTTATCATTAAAACAGGGATAAAATCGGTTACAGTACAGTCGCATCGCATGTCCCTCTGGACCGCGCCACCTCATGCCGCCAATTATTATCAACACGCGCAGATGAATCGATAAACAATTCTGTTCTCCTATTGGCTGAATTGTAGGCGCGGCACGCCTCTATTGGTTGAAACGATGTGGTGTGACGTCAAGGTCGACAACCTTTAAATTGGCGCAATTTTTCAATTTAGAACACATTGACGTAGGAAAGTTTTTGTCAATGAAAAAAGAATTTATTTCAATCATGTACTGCCCAAGTACTAATAGGTCACCGAAAAGGATTTATAATAGGATACCTTTGTCATAGTTCATTAAAACTACATTCCGTTATACG